TCAAGGTGGATGAAACATCCACAAGTTACAAGATCTACCAATGCTTTCCACCGGGCCTTGATGCGCTACTCGAGAAGGACCCAAAATTTGACTTGTGTCATTCAATTCGTTCTTGTGCGATAGATCCCCCTTTACATGATGCGTAGCATTCACGTTTTTGCTAGCTAGGAAGATGGAGGCATAGGTTTAGTCCACGACCCAAAATTTGACTTGTCCTGATTGCATTATCCCCTAGTCAACCCTTTTGAGCTGTGTGTCTAAGGGCCGTTCTCTTGTTAGGTAGCTCTTGCTACTTGAGCTTGATTGATTTAGATAGAGCGACCCTAATTTCTTCTTGTCTACACCGTATGGAGTCACCTTGTGTTTGGAAGCTCCATTCATACCATTTGAGCTTAAACGAGGTTCCACATGGGTGATTTGTGTATGGTTTTGCTTAGAAGTGAATTGAGTGTGGAGGTAGTTCGTAAAAGTGAACATTGTTCCTTAATTTAAAAAAATGTGGCATTTTTTAGCTCTCTATATCCCTCAAGGAAAAGGGAAAAGAAAAAAAAATCAATAAAAGGGCAAAGAAGAAGAGAGTGGCCACTAAAATATAATAAATGTTGAACATTCTCTTAGACGTGTTTCTTGGCATACAAGATATAGAAACACATACATGTTGTTATCCTCTACACTCTTGTGTTTAAAATTGAATAGCAAATGTAGCAAGAAAGTATGTGTGACTTGGTTTGGTGATTGGTTGTGGCTTGGAAAGAAGGGAAGTGTGATTTTTGGCCGATGCTAGTGGTCGTAGATTGTAGGAAAGGTTCTTAGTCAAAACCATAGAACCTTGTTGGTTTTAGATTGAAGATGTGGAACCTCCTGTTGTGTTTGCCACCACCCAAATAGCATTTTTTCCCATGCCCTAGACCCTAGCCAGTCATTTGAACTCGTGTCTAAGACCTCCGGACAAGCTAGCAACGACACCCATCTTGTGAGCTCTAACATTTAGAGGTTACAGTCATGGTAAAGGGACGTTAGGATTGAGCGTGACTATGCACATCTTTTCATTCATCATGTTTTTTTCATTCCTTATACTCCGCTGAGGACCTAGGTTGCTTGATTGTTTGTTTCTATGATGTGATCTTCATGCATGAGTGATTGTGATTGCTGAGTCGTCGAAGCAGGTTATTTGTTGGTTGATAAATATGTGAGAACTCTTCATTTGCACAACCTTAATGTAGTTGAATGTCGTTTGTGGTGGTTGCCAAGATTACTTTGTTTTTATCCATAGGTCGGTGTCCAATAACCATTGTGATTCATTCGTTTTGTGCCCTATGACATGCCCTAAAATTTTGTTGAAAAAGAAGTTGTAAGCTTACCTTGTTTTTTACTTGGTTTGCTTGGGGACATGCAAATGTCTAAGTGTGGGGGAGGGATTCGGGCCCAAATGTACACATTTTACCCCTCATTTCTTATATGTTATCTTAGTAGATCACCGTCCCTCTACCTATTTTATGCTAGTTGTGCTTGTTTTGTTACATTTCAGGTCCTAGCACGTGTGGGAAGGTCCGGGACGAGTTTCGGGTCATTCAGAGGTCAAAATGAGCAAAAAACTGGATTCTGAGCCCAGTTCACGGTCTCTAAGACCGTGAACTGAAATACCAAACCGTGAAGTGACCCAACACGGTTCTATCAATCTCCTATGATATAGGGTTGCCCTAGGTTGAATGGAGCCTACCACATTCATCGATTCGTCGTTCCAGATCATTCCCGAGGGATTCCATTCCTAACGGTAGAGTAATTGAGTCAATCGAGCTTTTGATCTAGGAGGGAAATAACTCCTCACCCCATATTGTCCGGGTAATCCCCGAGGGGATCGATTGGATCGATCTCCTACGATATAGGGGTGCCCTAAGTTGAATAGAGCTCCTACCCATCCACCACTTCACCGTTCCGATCCGTCCCGAGGGAGTTCATCTCCTAACGGTAGGATAGTGGATCAATCGAGCTAGGATGGTACTCAACATCGATCCAAAGGTCGGAAATAGTGGGATTTAACCCAAGTGAGCTCTCAAGACTTGTAAATAGCTAGTTGCGGTTAGCTAGGTTAGTTAGTTTAATTCTTCTAATCACCATCCTAGGTTGGCTAGATAACGAACCCTAAACTTGAAGTAGGGTAAGCCTAGATCCCTGCGGTACGGTAAATTTTTATTGCTTGCTTGCCTTATGCTACACCCGTTCGTCGGTTATACTTGGCCGACGATTGTGATGTTGTAGTTAGAACGAGTCAGATCTCGAGTGAAGAGTCTAGATGAGATTGATTGGGAGGATTTTTATTTGTACCAAGGATGGGATACATGACTTCATCATATGGTAGATAATGCTAGACTATTAAAACTTTTTTGCATTAAGGGCGAGACTATCGATGTGCTGACAAGGGGATTTTTGACAACATTGGACGTGTCAGCATTAAGGAACTCAATCTAGCTCGGGACTACCTACCGACTAGTAGAATGATACTTTAAGAATAGTTATGATGGTCTAGAATAGTTATGATGGTCTATGGATGTATGCTCAACATCCAACGAAGGGAGCTCCATCTGATGACTACCTTGGAAGAAACTGGATCAAGGATGAGAAGACTCGCATTTGTTCAGAGTATTGTGCCAGATTTTGAAAGATCGCACGACCAAATTTTCAACAGGATATACTCATCCCACCGACATTCGCTTCTCTTTGCCGAGGTTATGCATTCCTTTAGCCATACATTTTTCATATGTGAGGGAGAAGTGGTAGAAGAAAGGTAACTTCTAGTTATATGATGCTTTATTATACAATTGTCCGTGATTGGTGGCCCCGCACACCATGGATTGTGATTGACTATCTCAAGAGATTCGCCTCTCATGGTACACACCGGGTGCTTCCTGTAGGTGGCTATGTTTACACTCATGACGGAAAAAATTGAGCTGCTTTAAGTAAACCCCCAATCGAAGGGGTCAACTTTTGGTACTCGTTATCCTCAAGCTCGCAATTTCACTTCAATAGCTACGGGCACCAAAATACCCGACCTCTTTATCCTTCATCGCAAATGCTAGCTTATCACCCAAGAATATCACCAACCAATGCGTTGTACCTTCATGACACGCATTGGGATAGTAAAGCTCCAACCAATCCAAATTGGGTGAGGAAATCGAATTCAACACCACATGGATTCAATAGGATACCTCCACTTAAGTGCCACATTGTGAACCCTACTGGTCCTTTGGCACGACTCAACAATGATGAACTACGTGTACACATTAGAGGTCCAAAGTCGACATTAAAGAATTTAGTATGCCAATTAGATTCACTTATAGAGTTTCATAACGCCTCAAGAGCCTCGGGATCTCTCCCGAGCAATACGGAGAAAATCCTAAAGAAGATATCAAGGTTCTTAGGTAAAACTAGCCTGAACTTCACATAATATTTACCAAGTTTCTGCCATAAAAAAAAATTAGTCGAGCCCCTATGTAATAAAAGTTGAGGCATAAGGAGATACAAAGTTGGGAGCTAAATTGGAAATTTCTCAATTGCTGAAACTAACGGCCTAGCCATTGCGTTTGAGCTAAAATTGGTGCCTATGGTGCCAATTTATGATAATCTATAATAGTCTCCAGAGCTTAGTTCGAAATTGATTTTGAAATCGTCTAGACTACCCAGACAGAATTAAAGGTCATTTGGACTTTGGACAGAAAGATTATGACAAGGGAAATTAGAGATGAACCTCATTGGTGCTTAAAGTAATCTCTCTATTTGTTATAAGTTTGAAAACTTTACTTTGGGGAAAAATTAGATGGAAACGCAATTCCAAGAGGCAGGATCCATTTTCGTTGTAAGATCAAAAATGGCATCCACTTTAGTCAATTGAGGTGTGAATCCTGCCTCAAATCGACTGCATTCTAAAATCCTAGATATGGGGAGTTCTTACCTAAGTAACTCCTACATAGAGCATCCAACATCCCCGCACGACGAAGAATGGTCTCAAATCTCCACATGTACTAAAAATGATCATTTTTATTTTCAAAAAAGAATATCGAGAAGACTGCCAGGAACATGAATTTTGTCTATACATTGGTATGACCCCTCCAAACCTTGAAGATTGGAAATATTTTCTACCAAAAAAGGAGGAAGTCCAGAGCATTATGGGGCGAAATGAGATGCAAAGTCTTCCCTCGGACTGATCTTTCAACCCCAACAGCTTGAACTTGCAAGAATTAAGCGATATGGGCACCGATTTTCACCTCCTCGGGAAGAATTTGGTTATGGATTTCAGACCACAGTGAATGAGTTTCTCATGGTTTGGGAGGAATAAAAGTTTCCATACCAGGTTTTAAACTTATTATGGGGATGCTTGATTCGATTAAAGCTATAAGATAACTTCTCCTACAAGAGTACAAGCACTCTAAAATTCTCACTATGGAGAACATACCTCCCCAAGTTTTGGTGCTATAAAATTTTCTCGATCAGTGCACTTCATCATCCTATGTCACCCAAATTATCTTCATGTTACAGATTTGATCATATAATGAGATGCCCAATTATGTATAGGAAACATTATGTATCAACAGTCTAGAGGAGGGGACCCCGTAAATAACATTGATCGAAAAAAATTGTTTCGTCCTTTAGGCATGGTCAAGGATGAGAAGATCCAGATAGGACCCTTCGTGTTCTCTCCTGAATTTGTAGTGTAACACCGTACCCTATACGTTTTTCCTAATCATATAGTTCATACAATTGCAGCGGAATTAATCTCGGGTGTTACATTAATTATCAAAATTTACCCAAATAAAATTTCGACATGGATTACTCGCGTAATTGGCTAACAGTTCTTGCAACTTATCCTGCAAAATAATTCATCACAAACATATATACTCACAACCATATGCATTGGCTTTTCTTAGCCATAGTCACACTTTTCATACTCCACAACTGCATACCATACTTATACATACCATAATCGTCACAACTTACACAGTTACACAACATATACACATATCATAAACTTTCCACACCTGTGGATATCTCACACTACATCAGAAGCTAGTATGCACATGAAAAACGTTCGCAAAACATTTTTACCAAAAGGTGTGGATCACTGGCCAAAATCCCGAGTAGTAGTCCAAGCACATAATAGTTGAAGACCATACCTCATCTTGCCTTCAACTCTTGCTCAGCTCCCACCTATACACCTATCTACTGTTGATGTTGATGATCTGCTTACACATGGCATAAGCAGAAAAAAAGGATAAAGAGGGTCAGCTCATGGTTGAGTGAGATAATCATAGCATCGTGAGTTCATAACAGAGCATACCCCTACCATACATCTAGCAAACAAGCCAAAGCACTGGGATCCGATCTCAGCCCTCCGACATCTGACTCACTTCTACTGTCACTCCAGGAATTGGCCAAGTGAAACCACTTCCTAAAGCGTAGTATAGCGGGTTTGGGTTTAAATGTCAACCCGGGTCCTAGATTTGATGACTACTCAGTGAATTCTTGTTATCTAGCAATGAAACTTTAATGCAAGTCTAAACTAACAAACTAACAAAGCAAGTAAACAGTTGTATTCAGGTTAAGAGAGGTCACCCGGATATGGTTCCCCCTAGACTGCAGTTAAGCTGGATTGTAATTACCAAGTTCAGTTTCTATGATAGTTATACTGCGGAAGGTTCTTAAACAGCCTGAAGTCTCGACTAAAGATCTTCAGACCCTCTCAATTGAATATAATCAAATCATAGAATCAGTACTTGGGTTCATACAATCAAACCTAACATACAAATCTAGGGTTCTCCATACCCAGATGAATGGGAGAACTACTCCATGGAGAAAGAAGCAAAAGCAGAATCAGACGCGGAATTCATACTGTGAAGGATGGATTCCTGCTCCTGGACGTTAATCGGCACTTCTCCAAGCTCAAGCTGGCCTCCAATGGTGATGAAGATCAAGCTAGGGCACTTGGAGACTCTTGTTCGTCACTTTCTCCCTCTAGGAATCACTCTGTCTCTCTAAAACTCGAATCCCCTTCTGTTTTGGCTGAAATCTGCTTAAAAGGGCATCAGTGGCAAAGCACGGTCGAGGGCACGGCCGTGCTTTGCCTCAGCCCGCCCGTGCTTTGGCTAGGGTTAATTACACGACCATTGTGTTGGGAGAAACACGGCCGTGCTTTAGGGAGGACACAGCCGTGCTTTGGGTGGACACGGCCGTGCTTTCAGCCCGTGTTTGCAGCTTGAATTTGCCAAACTCAATTAGCTCTCGGCAGTAAAAGCACGGCCACAGAACACGGTCGTGTTCTGTTTAAGGTGTCCCCGTGTTTTGGCTCCAGCTCGACGAAATGACTTCCGAATGCCTCGAAACTCGTGCTTAGCCTTTCCTTTGATGCCTGGGACATGAAATATGACAAAATAGCACAACCCGGCGTAAAATAGGCCAAAAATACACGACTATGCCCCTCAAACGGATAAGAACTAGGGGCGCAAATATGTGCAATTACATCGTTATCAACATCCCAATAGGCAAAAGACTCAACCACCTTGACTTATGCATATGCATCTTATCATGTTTTACTTATAGGCGCCTAGTTACTCCCATGCTAATAACTCTCCCGGGAAACATACCCCACATCCCGTCGGATGTAGTCATACATACCCCAACATCCCGTCGGATGTGGTCATACATACTCCACACCACTATGGGTGTAGTCATACCCCAACACCACTCTTGGTGTGGTCATATCTCATAAGAATTCTTCAGTCACCACCACATGGGAGGTGTGACTATCATACATATCATAATAGAGTAATAGCATAGGGAGCCCTAATTACAATGTAGTTGACCGTGAGACCACAACACTCATATTTGGTATCCTTATACATGATTCATATCTCATCTTGCTTAATCATAATTCATTACTTGCACATGTACTTGACCTGGCCATAATTGGGTCAACATAGGTAAATCAGGAGTCGTATAATTGCACTTCCTCGGGATAAACCCTCGTGCAAGTCATCCTCCTTAAACGTCACAATATCACCTTGGGAAGTTTATTCCCCCACTTATGGATCCAAATACAACCATAATATCACACCATGTCAAAACCCCTTATCGAACAACCATGAAGTCATATCAACAGTTAAGCCATAAATGGCAACATGTATGCAATCATCCACATAAACAAGGTTCGTATCGATTAGGGCAAGTCAATAATATCATACAGCAGTCCAGGGTTCATCATATAGCACAAAAGTCCATACACCCCTAATCATGCCATTCTAGTTCACCTAGGTCAATTCTAAGCATCAATATAATTATCGTGATACGACAAACCCGGTATGCCGTGCTAATCCCTCACCAGTTCTGGTCGTTCAAACACCGGTTTAACCTTCTCGTACTAAAATGTAAATTTCACGAACGAACCTCGAATTAAAATCCGAGACCGTCCTAATATCCCCTGCAGTATCCCCGTCAATATTAGTTCTAGGCTCCGGGTCAAATTCTCGATAAAAAAACATCAAACCCTGGCCGAAGCTAAATTCAGCGATCCCGCTCTGACTTAAATAATAGCCGAAATTCAGGGATTAGAACTATAGGATTGATTACCTCGCTGCAGGAAGCTCGTATATTAAATTTGGGCTCAATCCGGCTTCCGGATACTCCAAAACCCTAATTTGGCTTATCGGGAATTCAAGAAATTCCTGAAACAAAAACTTGTTTTAAAGCTCTAAATCGATAAATCACTATGTATGGATGAATTAGGCATTACTTACGGGATTTTTGGATCACTAGGGCTCAAGATTTTGAGCTTTGGAAATTCTCCCCGAGCTCCCCTGTACGCTCTCTGCTTTCGATTTCTCTCGGCCCAAATTTGATGGAATAGAGACGATGATGGAAAAAAATGGACGGGGAATTATATATATGCGGCCCCAACCGCTTATAATATATATATATATATATATATAAAATTAATTAATACGTATACTTATCAGATTGATCGATAATACGATTTTCGTCGTAATACTATCAAAATACTCGATTTTAAATCGCGAACTTTCTAGCGATCTAAATATGGGTTTTTCCGGAATGAGATGTTACATGTAGTGACCGATATGGATAGAGATAAAGATTACTCTATCCTCTTTGAGTGACCTTTCTTAGTCACGTCCGATACACTAATCGATATTCCCCAAAATTGAATCATGATGATAATCGATAATGTAGAGCATATCATAGATATATCTACAATGGTTTCTATGAAGGGCATGCCCTCCAACCAATCGAGTCCTCCTATGGTAGAATCATATTGTAACTCTTTGGAAACTATTATGTATGACTAATAGAAACTCCTACGAGTCTCCTTTCATGAATCAGGATATGCATCCCAATCCTTTCTTTGAGTAACCTCTGCCACGCAACTAGGGATCATAGGAGAATGGACAACAGAGCCTCATTGGTCGTATGAAAAAATTCTAATGGTCTCGCCTAGCTCGAATGCATAAAAGAGAGAGCACTACATGGGAGGCAGGCCATGGTTTGTCTAACTTAAAGACAAAACAAAAGTATTGCCATCAGATTGCACGTGTTTGTCTTTTCTTTTCCAGGATTAGCTTTGAGATTTAGCCCATAATCAATAAAGTTGGTTGGCCATGGTTTAAGGGATGCACTTTATCTCACATATTTGTGGCATGACATAAGGCTGGTACTCACTTGTTGTTTCTGCTTATTAAAGGTATTCCTAAGCTAGATAAAGCACCAAGGGGTGCTTTTGTTCAAAGTAATGCAACAAACCAAACTCTCGAACGATAATGATGGAAAGGTAGAACTTCGCCACAATCAAGGTGCTTACTTGATTGATAAGAAGCTTGTTAAACAATTCTGGACTCCTCACAGAAAAGCTCGACAAGGGTTCTCGAATTAGTAATGGAATCCACATAAAACTAACTCAAGGATTTGGTTCTTGAGACACAACTCAAAGAACTAGACACTCACGTAGGAGTAATTTTCATTCAACTAAAACTTGTTCCTTTTACAACGTGAAATTGAAAGCTATTTAAGGACAATAAAACCTAATACAAACCTAATATAACTAGGAAACAATTTATATAAAAAACAAACCCTAAAAAGAACACAAAATTCGGTCAGAATCCCCTTTCTTCAAGCATAAGCAACCGGCCTTTTAGCACAAGGAAACTGCCAGAAAAATAGTTTTTGTACTAACTTCGTGCCTTTCGTTCGAGGCCTTCCATAACTCCAATCCTTCATCTAATTCCTTCCCTTTGCATATAAACATACCTAGTTCATGATGTGGAAGCCTATGGACTTGAATGAGATCCATGCTCCTCGAATTGAGCTCCAAAGTAGGCTTCACAAAACAGTTTTCTGCCTTAGTCATTTTCAGGCAGTTTTCCAGTTTTGACATAGGCTTTTGGTGAGCTTGGAAAATAACCTTTCTGACTTATCATTGAGAAACCAAGCATACCAATGTGTAGATAAACTTCTTAAATTCAAAACAAGATATTATAATCAAATTTTCATTGAGGCAATTGAGAGAACTAAGCCTCCAAAGTAGGATACCTGAAACTTTTCCAACACTTAACCAAATTCTGCCCTTCTTCTTCCCAACTTCGATAGCTTCTTCATTAAGTAATTTAAACATGTAGAGTTGGCTATTTGGGATCATATCAGGCTCCCTCTCTTCAAAAAGCTTTGACCTCAAAACTTGATGCTTCTTCTTGTCAAAATCGTCATAAAATTGATCCCAAATTGGATCGAAATAATGTTGCTCAAACACCATTTTCGACATAAAATTTGAATTTTCAAATCCTTCTTCAGTCAGCTTCAGCCGCGTCGTGGGACTCCAAGGCTCGCGTGTCACACAATCATCAAAAAAATTTGGACCCAATATCAGATCGCGCACATTTTCGAACTCCGGCGAAAATTTTCCAAATTCTGGCGACGTCAAGGAATCCGGCGACTTCGTCAAAATTGGGGCTTTCTTTTCATGACCATCTCGATCCAATTCAAGGCTTCCAACGTGCTCTCCTTGAGTCCAACAACCGATTCCAACAATTTTTAAGCTTTGATTCTGCTCGGATCGATTCCAATTGACATCCCTGACTTCCCCGCCCTCGTAAGTTTTGAAAATTCCACTTTCGGCGAAGGAAACCCAGAATTTGTCGAGTCCAAACACAAATTAAACATTTTTTATTATGACATCGCCGAAACGAATGGATTTTTTCTACACCTTTCTTGGACCTCTCTAAGCCTGTCAATAGTCTCCAATAGCTTCATTTCGCGCCCAATCGCTCCAATTGATTCAACCTTCTTGGTCTGGTTTTGATTCACGTTTTGGAACGAAATTTCTGAATTTGGCGTTTTTCGCCTCTACCCCTTCAACTCCAATTGACCAGCACGACACGTTCTCGCCATCTCACTGACTATATAGAGGTCTCTAGCTCGACCTAGGTTGGCCCCCATATGCTCCACCTGATTCACCCTTTTTCTTCCCCTGCGTTGCCGTCGGAAAACAGGGGCGCTCGGCCTGAATCGAAGTCTTCGTTTCGACTTGATTCCTTCTGTCAAAATCACTCTTGGGGTGTCGACACTCGTCTCGGATGCATTGGGCTCCAGCGGCAAAAAATAAGGGTCTTTACAGTGGGTTTGAGTCCTTGATGGATTTCTCCTCAACGTCAACGGTGTCGTCAACAAGGCCGTTTGATACTCCTCCCGTGGTCGTTTGACCATCTTCAAATTTTCAGCAGCTTGTTCCTGCAACAAAGGAATCAAAACAAACGTTTTGTTTTGTTTCCGAAGTCTGAATTCTTCTTATGCTAACAAATTCGACCTGTCGATTTTGAAACCAAGGCTACCCCAACACGATATGGTTGGGCAGATTGTATAACACATCACACAGAACCTGGTCTTCATATCGGCCAATCGAGAACTTCACAGCCACCTGGGAAATCACGAAGCTTGAGTGTTTTTCGTATGGAAATTGAACTGTATAGGGCTTCAGATGTAGCTGTTATTCAAGCCCTAGCTTGCTCACGACTCTAGAGGAAATAAAATTCCTCTCCCTGCCTCCATCAACGAGAACCAAACACCCGTTCTCTTAGATCAAACATCGCGTGAAAATCATAGATGGTAACCACTCTGCTGCCACCACTGGGATGACGATGCTGGAATCAAGAATTCCCAATTCCCAGCTCGAAGAACAGTGCCTTCATTTTCTAGAAAATGTTGTCTGAGCAGCCGTTTTACTATCCTATTTGGGGTCAGTTTTGTGACGATTTTGGGAGGAGGAAAGAACCAACTTTGAGGGCAAAGCTTCTAAAAGAGGGAGGGCCTGATATGATCTAAAAAACCCTCTTCCACCATTCTTGGTTGATTGCTAAAGAAGCTACTCTTACTCACTTGAAGGACATGGAATTTCGCCTAAGTCATGAGACTGTTTCAGGTAGCCCTCTTTACGAGCATGGGTTGGGCGATTGGCATGATAGAAATTGGATTGGAAGGGTTTGTTTGAACCTTGCAGGTTGATAAACAAATGGGGATGTCTGGGACCTCGAGAGAAGGCTGGTAAGTGTTGTTTTCAAGCTGGACAAAACCCCATGGCTTTGAAGATGAAAACAAAACTGTGTTTTTACTTGCGTTTTAAGTTTCCGTATTGCTCTCGGATTTGGATTGTTTTCGTTTTCCTTGTTTTATTGGGTTTCATTTGCGTTTAAGGTTATTTGTAAGTTCTATTTAAGTTTGACGAAACTATTTTAATCGACAGTTGAGTTGAATAAGATTGAAAACCCTAAAAACTAAGTCTCGTAGCTATTTTTTGGTAGAGAGTTTGGCCGAGAAAACCAAGCTCGAATCTGCTCTTGCATCGATCAAAACCACCTTGATCGTGGGCGAGCTTGGAAGTTTACTCCTTGAGCCTTCCTCCAGGTGTAGGATTGCACAAGAGTTCCACCCTTTTCCCTTTTTAAATTATCATTAGCAACTGGGTTTCGTGGACGAGTGGCAGTGCTTGGCTTACAAGTTCGATTTGTAAAATTAACGCCTTGCTTGGGTGTTATCAAAGCCTATGTTATATATCAATCCCTTATGCTCTTTAACAGAGATGTTCTTGGTAGCCTTGAGAACATAAATCATGATCCAAATCAGAACTAAACCACCCACCTAAAATGGCAGCAAAATCAACATAACGAGCACCATTTTGTCAACGAGACTTTCAACTTCAGTCTCTAGTTCTTAGCCTACATTTTCTCATACCTTCTTTCCCATCCACCCCTGGCCATGATTCCATAACCTTGTGCCCTTTTGTGCCTTCCAACACTCCCCAAATTAAACTCCATTGTATCACCCATCGCCACCATATTGCCAACCACTAACACCACTGCACATTAATCATCCTTCACCGCATCTCCTTACACTAATATCTTTAGTCCATTTTCTCTTAAATGCATGGGATGTGGCTCATGCCATTTATTAGCCTCTGGACCTTTGTGCTGAGCCATTTATTAGCATATAGACCTTTGTGCTTCATGTATACATATTGTTTGTGCTTGTTATAAATTTGCTCATTTGCTTACAATTTTTATGATTAGAGGGTATCTCTAATTCCAATGCATTAACGATGGAGTTAGGATAATGTTTTAAGCAAGTTTGAGTGATTTAAAGTCACATTCCTGGGGCGGTGTGTGTCTATGCTTGATGTTTTGTGTATGCACTCTTTAGAGTTTATAGATGAGGGCTCCGGGTCTCTACTCGTGCCATATATCTTTACATACATGAGTTCCTTGTTATGTGGTGGTATTCCTTCCATTGTCGTTTTTCTTCATATCTTTCACTATGTTTGGAAGTATAGTGCAGGGTGATCGTATTCGATTGTATCTAATGATTTTTACTTTTGAAGTACTCCTCATGATGATACATGATATGAGGTTTTGGCGCACCCTAAAGAGGACACTCTTTCTTATAAGGACATGAGGATGTTGCCACGAATCCTCAATGTAACTATGGAAATCAATGATCAACCAAAGATTGTGTTTGTTTTTATGAAAACATGCATCCTCAATGTACTATATCCTTGCTCTCTTCATGTCTCCTAGCATTAGTTGCTTCGTGCTCCGTCAATTGAGCTAGAAGAACCTGTGCTATGAGACGTAGCCTCCTCTTTCCTCAGCTCTAACTCCTCGACTTTGAAACATTCAAGAAATCGATAGGCAAACCTTTCAAAGGTGGTTGTCGTAGGTTGAGGAGATAACAGATTTTATTTCTTCAATTTTCTTTTTCTTCCCCTTTTGTTAAGTGACAAAATCAAGAGGAACTATTAGGTTATACATGATCATTCCAAATATCGAGGTATATTTGTTCTACTCTTTCTTGTTGCTTTGCTTGGCCAATAGGGATGTTCGATTATTTCAAGTGTGTGGTGGGTTAATATACTGCACTTCAATAATCAACCTCAACCTAATGTTCACACATATGGGAGACGATTGTGTGAGCATTGAGGAATATAAAATTTTAAATCATTTGAAATAATGCCACACTCCCCAACAAAATTCCAAAATTCATATTACTTTTAATTGCTAGTCTTTGCGTTAATAGTTGATCTAGGGAGGCTAATGTAGTAGCTATGAAGGATTTCTTCATCATGAAACTAAAAGACCATTTGAATTTTTATATAAAGTGATTATCACTATTCTTAGTGAGTTCTAATACAAAGAGTGTCATGATCTTAAAAGTTTAATGGGGTTGAATTGTATCTTTAAATTCATTCGAAATCCTACACAATAAATATATATATAATAAGTTACTTTTACAAATAAAGTGTGGGGTAAAATTCATGTGTGAGGCAATCACTCATTCCAGAAAGGGAAGAGGAATGGTTCAACTAAGCATTGGTTCGCGACCGTACGATGTTGCTTAATTATCTAGTACACTCCCTTGTCGAGTAAAGTGTTGTTTGACAATTGCGCTTGGTTACTGATAGAGCTTCCAACACTCCTCTATAGAATTTCCTCACATACTAATCGAGGAAAATGAGTTAAGCAAAGTCCTAATACGAGTGCTAAGGTGTAGAAGTTGCTTTTGCTTGATCAAGGTTGCAATGTACCCATGTACAAAGCCATATATATCCATTTGTGCTACAAAAAATTTCAAAAAACTAGCATGCCACTCTCATAAAAGAGAGAACATAAAACTCTCATTGTCAAATAAAGGTATAGGAAGTGGTTAAACATCAAAATAAAGCTTGGAGGAAGCTTCAACCAAATATTTTGAGACTCTCGAGTTAAGATAAGATCTTGTGATTGAAAGAGATTGGTGATGACTTGATATATACACATGTTTTTGTCCACCATTCTTACACCGTTTGAGTCTTATTTATCGTGTTTAAGGCTGATTTCACGATAGGACGTTTGGCGAGAAGCTGAGGAAGCCACACGGGCATGCCTAAAAACCAACACGACCGTGTGACACCAAATTTCACCGGCAAGCCACACTGGCCGTGTAGGGGACCCCTTGTGGCTGTGTGGAACGTCCAAAGAGCTCACATGGGCAGCCTGGAAATCCACACGGCCGTGCGGTTTTGGCCATGTAGCATACCAGAAGCCACTTAAGTGAAACACGGCGTTTTGCACACTCACACGGGCAGCTAGGAAAGCCACACGGGCATGTGGCTTGGCCGTGTGGTCGAGAATTTCTGGATTTTAACCCAAATTCTTGATTTCTGCTGCAACCTGAGATAGATAGAATCTTATTAGGTTGTTACGCTTCATCAATCGGTAGTTGTAGATTGGTTATACAAGATTAATCAATCTACTGCTTTGTACAGGAACCCAATTCCAGTAGTGGAGTTCTGTGCTTATTGCCTCAACAGTCTATCCCGGTGAAGGTTAGTCGCCTGCCGGTGAGCCTACCTGAGAGGGCTTGGTCAGCTTAAGAGATTCCAAGCTACTGTCGGATCTTCCACAGTTTAATCAACAGTTAATCAACCCAGGGTAATTACAACTGAGACCTAACTAAGGAGCTAGGGGGACTCATTCCCGAGTGACTCTTCCTTTGCTTTAGAAAACCGAACCATTTCCTGCTTTCTTACTGCTTTTACTTAAATCAACAATCACTTAACTTAGTTTGCTAGATAATAGATATACAAGGAGTAGGCAGTAGATCTAGACCCCGGGTTGACAATTAGAGCTTGCCCGTTGCTGTATTTCCGGACTGCGATTACACTTGGTCGCAGTTTGGTGTTGTGTTTTAGTGTGTCAATTGGCCATATTGTCCTTATGAGATATGCACCTCATTGATGTGGTCTAGTAATGTGTGAGGATTAATCTTGTAAATTTCTTGTGATTTGCTACCTACGATCGAAAATCATGTGCCATCGTAGAGGTCTAGTGAGCTATATGATTATGAGTGAAGTTTGCTTGGGGACAAGAAAAAATTCTAGTTTGTGGTTATTTGATGACACATAAATGGTGCTATTTTCGGCCCCTTTATAATAGCTAGAATTACATGGTTTTCACATCTTTAGTGCCACAATAGCTTGTATTTGATTATTAATCACTCAAGGTGTGTTTTAGTAGCATTAGGACTGCTTTTACTATTGTGATGAACTTTTGGTCGTGTTTAATGTGCTTTCAGGTCATAGCATCCAAGTAGCCACCTTTTGTGTTGGGGAACATCAAGGCCTGACTGTTGGGAGTCAAAATGTGTGACTGGAGCAAGCCCAAAAAACAACACCGAAACATTGGAGCATATCCCAAAATGATGCCTTAGTAGTCATTTTGGAGGGACTCCAGATCGAGCCAGATTCATATGTAATATGCCATACGTGTTGGCCAAGCTAGAAGAGACTTGAAGGAACTTGGAAAACACGTCAAGGTGGAATTTTCCTCCCAGAAAACTTTATGTAGAGGATTATAAATAGACCCCTAGGTGGTGGAAGTTTGTTAGCCATTGATAGGTGCCGACGTGCAA